TAAACTCTTATGGTCGGTATAAATTTGAGTCTTTTCTCCATACAAATAGTGTTGTCAAATTTTCAATGTGAACACTACCGCTGCCAACTCTTAGTCATGTGTAGAGTAGTTCTTCTCATAGTCATTCAACTAATAGAACACATCCTAGTCCCATCTTGGAGGCCTCACTATATATCACATACCCCTCTGAACTTTCTAGTACTAAGGACGGGCTAACATTAATCTTTGTTTTAGGTCTTGGAAACTTGCCTCACATGTGTCATTCCATCCAAATGGCACGCCTTTCCTCATTAATTTTGTGGGTGGGTGGGGCTATTCTATTGAAGTCTTGCACAAATCTTCGATAGTGTCCTACTATCCCCACAAAACTTTGCACCTCCATAACTGTGGTCGGGTGTTCCCACTTAGTGACAACTTCAAGCTTCGTGGGATACAACTTGTTCTATTTCAAGATGGTTAAGACTTTTCGAAGGTGTTCCTAATGTTCTTGATCCATCTTTGAGTACAATAGGATGTAATCTATGAGCACGATAACTAACGTATCAAGACATTCCTTGAATACTCAGTTCATTAACTCCATGAATACCGCTGGGGTATTGTTAAGGATATTTAGTAATAAATTATAGTTTACCATATATGGCAAATATCTAATATTTGCCTTATTATCATAGGTATGTTTCCATTTATTGTTATTTCCATTTATTACTATTTCCATATCCTTGTAATTTATTTGATTATAAATAAGATAACTTTCACACCATTTAGGTGTGGTGGATTAATCAAACATTCACATGGTATCAGAGCCCTCTCGGTTTAACAACCCCGATCCTTTCTTTTCAATGGCTTTTGAATCCTCTAATCTTCTTTTCCACCACCCCTGTTGGCTTTGACGCCGCAGGGGCAGTCTTCATGGCTGCCGCAGGCGGAGCCGATTGATTACTCTTCGGCTCCGCCCTATTGACCTCCAAATCACCTTTCGTCATACTCTGTACATACAACCTCACCTTTTCCAACCCAATCGGTTTTCCCCTTGGCCAATATAGTCTCTCTCATTTTCTTCCCAATCAACCTTCATCCTTCACATAAACCCTAACCTAAACCTATCAACCTTTTGCAGAGATTTACCTTCGGAATCTGGGTGCCGCACTGGCCTATTCGCCAACCAAGTTGCCGTCGCCCTTCCTGCCAAAATTGGCTTCTTCGCCCAATGAGGCGACTCTTCCGACTGTCCTTCTCGCCAAAATTGGCTCCTTCGCCCAATGTGGCGACTCTTCCGGCTTCAACATTGTCTTTGTCCCTTGCTCTAGGTTTCCCCTTCTACTTCTTGGGGTTAGAAATATTCTCACCAGAGCCAAGGCAGCATCGTCGCTAAGCGACAATCCCTCTTCATGGGTTAGACATATTCTCGCCGAAGCCAAGGCAGCATCGCCGCTGAGCGGCGATCCCTCTGCAATTTTTGATGGCCAAGAACCGGGTTGTTAGCATCTTCAAGAAAAGTGTTTCTCAACCTCTTTGAATTTTTCAGATTCAAGCTTCACGTTCGTTTAAATCCGACGCTTAGCTTGCGGTGGGGTGTTAAGGATATTTAGTAATAAATTATAGTTTACCATATATATTATATTTGATATTTTATTATAAGGCAAATATCTAATATTTGCCTTATTATCATAGGTATGTTTCCATTTATTGTTATTTCCATTTATTACTATTTCCATATCCTTGTAATTTATTTGATTATAAATAAGATAACTTTCACACCATTTAGGTGTGGTGGATTAATCAAACATTCACAGGTATTGATGAGACCAAACGACATCACTACAAACTCATAGTGGCCGAACCTTATTCTGAATGATGTCTTTGGCACATCCTTTTTTTTTATCTTAATTTGGTGATACTCTTATCAAAGATTGATCTTGAAAAGTACCGTTGCTTCCTGAGTTGGTCAAACAAGTCTTCTATACAAGGGAGTGGGTACTTATTCTTTATTGTCATCTTATTCAATTCTCTATAATCAATGCATAGACACGTCGAGCCATCTTTTTTCTTAACAAATAACACTCTCGAACCCCAAGGAGATACGCTAGGGTGGATGAAGCCTTTATCCAGTAGGTATTGTAATTACACACTGAGTTCTTTCAACTTTGTTGGTGCCATGCGACTTCAGAGATAGGTTCGGTTCCTAGCTCGAGTTCTATGGCAAAATCTATAGCTCGGGAATGGGGTATTCCTGATAGGTCTTCTCGAAAGACATTCGAAAATTCATTTACTATGGGTATCGTGTCTAAAGTTTTTTCTTTTCCTCTTACATCCACGACACTTACTAATATGGCCCAACCCCTGTGTTGGACTAGTCTCTTGGCTTTCATCATTGAGACTACTTTTGGGGTAATTCCAGTACATGTTGTACACCCGCTCATCGACAACGCGATTACAGGAGTTACCAACGACTCCGATAACAAACTCCAACAAGCAATCATAATTTGGCAAAAGATTTCCACAAAAAATGTTCATAAATATCAAGTAAAACCTTTAAAATCAGTTCTATTTAAAACATTATTAACCAACAAAAATTTTAAACAACGAAAGCATAATTACATAAACAGACCCAAACATGAATTCCCAATAGTCTCTAGCCCTCGTTCTCGGTTGGCTGCATCATCTAAATCTGGAAAGAAAAGTTATAATAATTTTGATAGTAATTAGATTACCGAGTAAGTGCTAATTTATCTTTCATGAATTATAACTAATCTTTACAGGTGTTTTTAAGTTTTATTCGCCATTGACTCCTAGTTTCTCTTATTAGGGTCATCGGTTCATTAATGGGGTATCTCAGCTACCTCCAGCTTAGGTTACTGACTCTCTCTATATGCTTATCTAGAATTTTTGGACTCATATGTAAGACTCGCTCTCGGTCAAATACGACCTATCTACTAATTTCTCTGGTGGCCTGTATACCTCATATACCAACGGTCAGGAGTACTCATTCTCTCTGACTTAGTACACAGCACGTTGATCAGGAACTCCGCGGGAATTAGTAGACTACAATACTCATATAATTAGGTCATGGCTCTACAATCTATAAACATATCCTAGAGTCATAACTTTTCCATTAACATGCTTAACATACTCACATCTGATGCATGCTTTCATACGTTTATAATGTTCGACACATAGAACATTCTAGTAATCATTTATGACATGCTTACATCACAGACAAGCAGTCATAATACACAAATCGTCATTCAATATTATCAAAGCTCATATTAACATACTAAGCTCTTAATCATGTAAACAACATACTCGCAAGTTGTAAAACAAGTTAAGAACTAGTTTAAAGCACGATATGCTACTTACCTGGTTTCGAATCCCTTTTTCCCTTAGTACGTTTAATAGGATATTACGACCCACCCAATTTCTTCCAATTAGACCTATATTTCACAATTTTCAAGATAAGTGTCAACCAATCTTGATAGGACAGGTCAAAAGGAGTCGAACGAAACAAACCAGGAGCCAAAACGATGACGCACATGCCCTCACGCGCCTGCACATGCTCAGTGTGTTTTTCTCACACCACCGATCTGCACACAATCGCGCTCTCACTCTCGGACTCCCACGTGCCCTGCGTGTCTCTCACGTGCCTAATACTTCAATCAATCAGATGAGGGCTAATACTTCAAGTGAAAGCATAAAATCTAAAAAAAAATCAACAATAAACGTTTATCCTATCCTTGCTGGCGTACCCTACTTTACGCCTATAGCAGCTCGCGACACTCTTCGACCCAATCCACACAGCTGCCCCAACATCACATCTGTCGTAGCCGCGACTCACGACTCGTACACCCGCGCGCGACCTGCGCCTCGACCTGAAGCCGCCTGCACACGCGTCGACTTCCTATTGCGTCACGTATCACCACCAACAGTGAGTAGTCCTCGGCTTTAGCGGCTGGAATTAACTCGGCTTGGCTCACTTGGCTCCGAGGCTCAAATTCTCGGCTGTTAGGCTTGGTAAACAAATTTCAGTTTCGACCCTCCCAAACTTAATTTTGAGATATTATAATTTCTTATTTCACAAATTTAAATTGAATTTATATAAGAATTGTGAATTACTAACGAAAAGCAATGAATGACCCAACAGAAAACGACAACCAGCGATAGTTTTGAGCACTTTTGAGGAACGAGAGCTAATGTACTCGAATCAAGGAGAACACCAGCAAAGGCCAACTAAGTAAGTGACCCTACCGTCGTTGGTTATAAATGTGTGTTGTATGATGACAAGTGCCCCTGGCTTCGCACGTGTCATAGGTCGTGTAGGTAGACTGTTATGAAATAATATGTAAATGTTATGCGATGCGATTGTTATGCTGTATTTGATGAACCGATATGCCTTATGATATGTTATGTTATGATATGATGTGTTGACAACATGCTCGGGATTATTATGTGATTGTTGTGATATGAGTACGATATGGACTGTTATGTTTGAAAGCATGAAAATGATATGGTATGACTGATATGTGACATGGATGCTATAATTGACATGTAAAACGACAAACTAGCATGAAATACAACCCCGACATACATATGAAAGAATTGCTAAATGATATGATGAATAAGCTAGCGGGGTTGTATTAAAAAATGGAAAAATGTTGGAACCTCGTACATTATTGTGTGTTCATGCATTGAAGAATACTCCTATTCCTTTATGATAGTTCAGACGCGTACGCTACTAGGCAGGAGAACGTTCATTATGTTTGTCATAATGCTGTTGTGACGATTGCTACTCCTAACGGGTGTCCGACATCAACAACTACCAGATAATGTTTGCCCGAACAGAAAGGGGCCCAAGAGGTGTGCGAATTGACTAGTGAGTTCATACTCACACGTGTAGACCTTGTATAGAGAAATTAAGTAGACATCCAAGTCCGTTAGGATAGTCTACTAGAAAAATAGACGGATATGAAATGTCTCATGTACACTCTTTCTATTCGGCACACGGTGATATCATAGCGGCCAAAATGGAGTGCCGAAATCGGCTCATTTGCTGTACCCAAAGATTGGATCTGTTAATATCCATTTACAGAGACAAAGGAGTGCCGACGATGGCTAATCTTTTCATTCTCAATTTCCCAACTTCCCGTTCCAGCTTGAGGCGTGTCTCTGCTTTACCTTCATCCAATGGTTACTCTCTCTTCCTCGTTTTCGTCGATTAATTTCTCTTACTCGCTCAAAACAGTCGATGAATTCGGTATTTTTACGATGAAATCATAGGCGCTCATCCGTTATCGGCAGGCAGTGGACCAGTGATCCTGGAGCTTCCTTTGGAGAAGATACGGAGGCCATTAATGAGGACAAGAGCTAACGATCCCGATAAAGTCAAAGACCTAATGGACAGTATACAAGAAATCGGGCTACAAGCACCCGTGAGATTTCTCTCCTCCTCAATTCGTATTTATTTTACACCTTCCTAATCTGTGCCCTAGAAGATTCATGGCTTGAAATGATTATTTTATTCGAGGTTCATGATTTCTCTTGCTGTGTTCTACTTTTCTGAATTTGAGGCCGAGCAATTGATATTAATATAGCTGTAGTTCTTGGAATTCTGTTAATGCGTTGGAATTATTGGAGTGATCTGACTGGAAGAATGATAATAAACGTTATTATGTGCCATTTGGTGAGTTTATGTTCAAAACTCTTCAACTTTTAAGTCATTGAAAGATATGTCTTGTTTCAGATTCATTAAGACTTCCATTGTGGGGTCAGGAACTGGTTGATGAATGATTCTAAGAGTTACAGATCTTATTTTTAGTTTTTATAGCCGTATTGATTGACTAACTGATGATATCTTTTATGTTGGATGAGTATTTACATAAAATATTGATGTTGATTAATCCTTAATCACAATGTTTAACCCTCTGATTTAGGAACGCATCGACATATTGATAGATATTTTAATTATTGGATGAGTGAATCGGATTGTGCTGCCCAAGAATTTGATCCTTGCCATATGTGATATAGAATCACTACAAGGGGAGTAAGATTCAGATTACCTTGTTGATTGAATATTTCAAGACAAGAACATTTGTTTGAGATTCGAATCACTCCACAAGCAAGATTGATCATGTCAAACTTGAATGATTCTACATGCATTCTAAACTACATAGAATTGCAAAGAAACTTAGTCATTGGCTAAAGGAAAGCACATATGCTCCTTTTACTACATTTTCCAAGTCTGTTTTACAACGATAAGATACCTGACTTTATATAACCTCAAAATAAAAACTCTTAACCTTCTTGAGGCATTCCATTCCAAGTGTTGTAACTATATTTCAGGACCATAATTAGCCACTAGGTATACTTTATGGCTATAATTAACTACTATGTAAATAAGCCTTAAAATACATTAAATAAACACCTTAACTAAAAATTATGATCCACCCAAAATTTATAACAATGAAACTTAATTCTTTTTCAAGGTGGCACATTTTTTGATAATTTTGACAACATTTTCTTCGCATATTACTTGAAGTCTGTATTGCATGATTGATGTCTTGGTTCATATCACCATGTTAAATGCATCAGGTGCCCTTTCCTTCTAATTGGAGGGATCCTTTACTTTGATATTGTGAATGATATGATAATATACCTGTTTTAATCATCAGGATACTAGTAGTCATATCAAATAAACATTTATGGGTTGAAAGTAGGTGATGTTTTCTTGCAGTAGGCAGTATTTGCCCTAAAGGTTTTACAGAATGGCATAAGCATGTTACTCATTCTCCCTTGTTGTGAATGCAGATTGATGTACTTGAAGTTGATGGAGTTTATTACGGTATGCTTATCCTAGATAATATTTATATCATTTCTGATATTGTTTCATTCCCCAATAAGAGATGTAACTCTGTTTTTTTGTTGTTTTTGATCATACTTGCTTTGGTGCAGTAGTAATTGGAAATTCAATTCTGATTTTGTTTCCAAATATGCCATTACTTTACTGAGGTCTGTTTGAGCAACCGAAGATTATTTTCATGTTTGAATGGAGGATTGTTAGGAGGAGTCCTATATTGGTTAATTTAGCGGATGATCACGTGTTAAGTAAGGAATATAACTCTAATGGTATGAGGTATTTTGGAAAAACTAAAAGTAAAGCCACGAGAGCTTACTCAAAGTGGACAATATTATATCATTGCAGAGGGTTATTTGAGGGCTCTGTAGGTTTCTAGAGAGGCTCTATGTTGTAGTTTGTTCGAGTGGAGGATTGTCAAGGATGGTTGGAATGAGTCCCACTATAGTTAATTAAGGAAGATGATCCTGGGTCTATAGGTAAGAAATACATCTCCATTGGTATGGGATCTTTTGGGGAAACTAAAAGTAAGGGCACGAGAGCTTATGCTCAAAGTAGATAGTATCATATCATTGTGGAGGGCTATTCAAGGGCTTCATAGGCTTCTGGGAATACTCTATGGTGTAGTTTGTTCAAGGGGAGGATTGTTGAGGATTGTTGGAAGTAGTCCCGTGTTAATTAAAATAGATCATGGATTTATAAGTAAGAAATACGTCTCCATTGATTTGAGGTCTTCCGGGAAAACCAAAAGTAAAGTCATGAGAGCTTATGCTGAAAGTAAAAAATATCATATGATTGTGGAGGTCAGTGGTTCTTAATATGAAAAAAATGATATAAGATTTTCATTTTGATTCCAATTGAAAGTAATTATAAGATTTTCATTCTGATTTCAATTGAAAGTAATTATGGCCTACATTGGTATATAAATATCACAACGCACGTCCAGTTTATCATTTTAGATAACTAGATTTTCTTCCCATGGATTTTTAGGTTTCTCTGGTTGTCATCGTTATGAGGCTCATCAATGCCTCAGACTTCCTACAATCCGCTGCAAAATTCGCCGTGGAACCAAAGAAACTCTGAGGTTTGTTTCACTCAATCTCATACATGATCTCTATTTCTAATGATTGATTTCCCTTATTTTTACTTAATCTCATATTGCAATGCTTTTCTTTCGCTATCTTTTATCATCTTGCAGGCACCACCTACGATGAAGTTTCAGTAGGTTGCCCGTCGGTAGGTTGCCCGTCGGTAGGTTGCCCGTCGGTAGGTTGCAATGCCATTTAAACTATTTATTACTTTAAATGCCTACCAAAGCTTTTACTGAATACCCGAAACAAGCATGTGTACATCACATTGCAAGTATTTAATGTCAAAGTTTACGTGTAAATAAACGATTATTTGTCCTAACTTGAGAATAATGTAAGCGTTGCTGTCTTGAAATCAAGAGTGATGATGTCACTGATGTTGAGTTTTATTTCATAACTATATTCAAGCTTTCCGGTTATATTTTGAATATGGCTCAACTAGTTAAAACATATAACTTTCGTTCAAATTTATCTACTTGGAAGATGAGAATTCAACAAATTTCACTTTGCCACCCGAAAGACGAGCATTCTGGTGTTTAGTTTCAATGCTTCTTGAACTTTCGCTATCATGATCCTAGATAGAAATCTGACTGTGTTATTGGTCCTAGACAAGTAACTCAAACCAGCTCACTGCTTTATACTGAGAAGTAGCATCGCCTTGAGGTTGGTGTGGTGTGGGGATGCATGCGATAGTGACGCGATGGGACGTACTGGGATGCTCTAAAATATAATTGGGTGTAGGTAGCTATTCACAAGAAAATACAAGGATGATGGAATGTTAGAAATGTAGGATGCACGGTTAGTAGCTAAGGGATACACTCAAACTTACGATATATATTACCAGGAGATATTTGCCCCTATTACGAAGATGAACATCGTAAGAATTTGTAATCCTTGGGTACCAACTTAAATTGGCAATTCTCACGATATGATTGTAGAATATATTTCATTATCGTAGGAAATCTACCTATAGACTAAATAATCACCAAGGGATGGTTTGATAGATTCACTAAGCTAATGAAAGACGGTAGGTATAAGTAAAGTCAAGGAGATTATGCTCTTTATCATCATTTAAAATCAAGGGAAGAATTAGAGTGATTTTAGTGTATGTAGATAACATTACAGTCACAAAGAGATAATGAAGAAGCAAAACTTGAACTAATATCAGAGAACTAATATCAGAGAACTTGAAAGGCTAAAGTACTTCATCGACATTAAAATTGCATACTCAGCTCAGGACATTTTCATATCACAACATGAATTTGTAATGGATTTAATGATGGAACTGGAAAACCGGATGTAATTTACACCAATGCCAATAGATCCACATCAAAAATTGGGAGGGTCAAAAGAACTTGCAATGAACAAAGAAATTTACCAGAGGCTAATGGTTGGCTTATATCTAGCTCACACTCAGACTAAACATAGCATTCTCATGGAAGGTAATTAGCCACAACTCATGCAAAATCCACATTAGACAACATAGAAAAGTGTATGTTACCTAAAAAAAACTTCAAGAAAACAAATTTGGTTCTAATGAAACAATTCTCGTGCATTGGATGCTTACACCGATGTTGACTATGTTAGATTAATAGAGGTAAAAAGATTTACTACGAGGTATTGTACTTGGTAACATAAAGTAAAAAGCAAAATATGGTGGCAAAATCATTTATTGAATTAGAATTTCGATTTATTGCACGAGCGTCATGCTTTTTTTTTTTTTTTTTTAATATAAGAGATAATTTCATTGATGATTGAAATTTACAAACGAATGTAATATCCACGACGTTTACAGAAAACCTTCCCAGATTACAACGAAGGAGGTACAACTATACAAAGTAAAAATATTAGTCAGTTTGCACCAAGCATTGCCGAAAAGTTTTGTATAAATATGTGTTTTTCTGCGTATATTCTTTGATTTCTTTTTTTTCATAGATTAAAAAAGAAAGACATGATAAGGTTCTTCCATAGTAGGGCTTTTGCATTCTTGAAAGGGTGGTACGTCAAGGCCATGTCCAATAGATCCTTTTCCTCCTTAGGGAATGTGAGATGTCATCTAAATATATTAAGAATCGTTGTTCAAACAATCTAGTACACCAATTTGGAGAGAGTGATGTAAGACATTCTTTTTTTTTTTTTTTTCAAATTTTCATTTATGCTAATAGATTTATGTGCTATTTTCCAAAGGAATAACTTCACCATTTTAGGGGGATGTCCTTTCCATATTGTCAATGCTAGCATGAGATTTATTGCTTCTACTTTTTTTTCTATGTCCATCGTCAAGAATTTTATAGAGAAGACCCCGTCAACGCTGGGAGTCAAGCCAGTGAGTCTGTTTCGTTTGACAATACCACTAGAGTAAGGTCAAGGCTTATTGGTCCATTATGTTGCTTCATTATCCTTCAAATTTCTTCCAAGTTTAAGGTCCTAGAATTTGTTGACAACATTTAATGTTTCTTTTATCATGGCTTTTTTGCTATGAGAGAGCTTGTACAATAGTGGATACGGCAGGGCGAGCATGATGTTTTCAATTCATGAGTCGGTCCAAAATGATGTGCTTTCTCCATCATCCACCCTATGGAAAGTTCAACCGGTGATGCGGTTTTGATATTTTTTTATGTACTTCCAAGACCCTCTTGCAGAGAGGGGGTTCATTTTTGTTTGATGTAGGAGTATATTTAGAGTTTATAAGATTTCTTCTCAAGACCTTTTTCTTCGTGAAGATATCTCCATTCCCTTTGGTGAGGAGAGTTTTGTTTTCTTCTTTATCAAGAAAAGACCGAGGTCTCTCTTTTTTGTTGGGAGGTTTATAATATTTCATCGAACAAGGTGTGAATCATCTTTTCCCAGGTACTTTCTGAACAATTTTCGATATCTAAAACTACTTTTTGTGGCATTTCAAATAGAGACATGTACTAAGTGGGGAGATTGGATAATGTAGCTTGTATTAGGGGGAGTCTTCCGCCTTTTGAAGTATAACATGATGAGGGTCCAAGAGGTGTGTGAAACTGACTGGTGGATCCATGCTCGCACGTGCTGACCATGTATAGAACAGTAAATACACATCCAATTAGTCGATTTAGGATAGTCACATAAGGAAAATAGACTAATATGATAGGTCTTATTCATGATTTGTATGTGCTTGCATTTAACCCCCATAGGGGGCCGCTTACTGAGTATTTCTTAAAATACTCAAGCCACGTGCTACTCTTATTTTTTTAGGTAAAGGCAAGGCGTCCTTGTACGGCTCACGACGACATTGCAATTTAAGACCATGACACATGCATAGGATAGTTGTACCTCTTTTCTTAGACTTAGATTAGAATAGAATGTTTTTAATTTTAACGCTTATTTATTTAATTTAGTATCTCGTTGTGTCATTTTAAAAATGTTTTCAATCACGCAAGTCCATGACAATGTTTTAAGATGAAATTTATGTTTTATGATGAAACTTAAACTGCTTATTTCCACACAAAAGGATTATGTTACGATGATTGTAGCAATTCTAGCTAAGTAAAAAATTTGAGTCGTTACACTAAGCATGTTAAACTCGATAATAATGTTAATAATAATATACCATTCAATCATCTACTTTGTAATACTTTACTAGCAAATATTCTATAAATCTTAAATTTAATCATCATTATTTTGAAGTTCATTTTTTAAAAATTGGCAAATTCATAATAAGAATTTCCATTAAATAAAATTACACCAAATACTTATTTTCAACATTTAAGAAAACGTGATCATAAACGTATAATAAAAAATAATTTTAAAATTTATGGAAGGCAAAATGACACTATTTAACTCAAGTTAGTGGCTTCTTTATAATTACTAATTAATTAATTTTAAAAAAGAACCAAAGATTACTTAGCAAAATAATAGTAATTATATCTTTATCACAAACCAATATCATGTAAAAGGAAAATAAATAAATAAGTAAACAAAGAAGCAGCAGCTGACATCCATTGTTATAGGAGCTAGTTAAGTCAAAATCAAAAACAAATTCTTAACAATAAAGAGTATGATCTTGAAATGGACAAGTCGAACAATAAACTAATTATTCGAGAGCATAGTATTGAACTCTGAATAAAATTGTATAAACTTAGAGATAAAGAATTGAGAAAACACCTTAATTTAAAACAAAAGGGAGAAGAATAATCCGAGCACGAGAGACTAAACTTCAATCACTCCGAACTTCTAAAGGCTTCACCTTTATCTTTGAACTATAACATTTGTTTCATAAATAGGCTTGAAAGAGTTTTTTCAACTTATGTATAAAAGCTAAAAAGCATATATAACATCATTTACATGATAAATTGACGTAACATTTGATGTGTTAAAAAACCTTAATCGAAAACAGATATATATCCAAGCGGGCAAAAGGAGAAGGCAGTAGAACGTGAGAGGATCAGTCCTAAGAAACCAAAGGAAGTTGGGAGAAACACAAATCACTGCAGAAATTCCAACAATTGACTTAAAACCCACAGCATCTAAAATATCCAATAATACATATAATTCCTTAACCAACAACATATAATGGTGTGGGAATTGGGCAACCTGAAATGTTCATAGAAGGAGCCAACAGTTTTTGTTCATAATTTTGGGAATGGAATGGCAGTTCCAGGCATTATCATCAAGTTTTACAGGCTGCCACTTCACTTCAAAATTAAACACTCACATTTGTCTTTAAAATAACTTTCACTTTGCAGACAAGCATCATATTGCTTACTCTACTTCAGCCAAATAATCATCAATCTCAGCAGGGGTTAGTACTCTGCAAAAGAACAATACGCGTGCATGGAAGTAAGTATAACTCACAAGGGTTTTTCATAGAACAAAGAATCGAACTGATAGCAATGAAGAAACACAATTCACTTCGAGTGGACGACAGAGAGATAGAAATGTGCATTTTACTTCTCTATCTAACAAAATTTGTGCCTGTCTGTCCTAAACATTATGCTAGTACTGCCACACACAAGCCTCAACAAAAGTACCCACCAAATCTTTTTGAACCATAATACCAGCTTCGTTAACAAATAACTCTACGTATATACATAACATTGTTGAACCACCAAAAAAACTTGCTAATATGCGAAAGATGAAAATTGTCCAGTTTCAAGTGTTTAGCGTTCAAAAGGAACTTTCTAAGTTTCAATAATACAAAACTCCACAAAATTCGAAACAATACACTCACAATGAAGCACATTGACACCTACAGCATGCCATACAATTCAACTATGCATAAGGTTTTGAAGCTCAACCCAAAGGATAGGTTTTTTTATTCCCGACAAAACATAGTACTATCAACGAAATTGTTTCTTATCAAAAAAAAAAAAAAAAAAAAAAAAAAAAAAGAAAAAAGAAAAAAAGAAAATGAAAGNAAAAAAAAAAAAAAAAAAAAAAAAAAAAAAAAATTCCAAGAAAACAGAATAGGAGTGACCAACCTGAATTTCTTATCTGTGCCAATTATTCCAATTTCAATGTTTTTGCCTGAGATCTGTCCTTCAAATCTACAAAAGTACACAAAACATTACCGATGATTAGCACATAATATTAGAAACAACAATATTGGGACGGAGATTGTACTGCAGTATGCGGCAGTGCATTATAAATAGTTTACAAAATGTGGATTTTAATTTTTAGATCGATTAGAACTTGTGAGAGAAAATGAATAATAATCAGCTTTTCGCCAATCACCAAGCAGCCCTGTGGAACACAAAATGGTTTTGAAGTCGACATATTGTTAGTATACACAGTCTTCTATGTAAACCAAGGCCAATGCACAGTATCATCTTGTGACTCAGACCTAACCTATCTATGAAGCTTTTAGGTCACTTTTGGTCTTTTGATAGGATAAGATTTTTGTAAATCTCTTGGATTGGGGCCCTATTTCTTTTATTTTTTTTCCCCCTTAAATTTTATACATCAATGAAATGGTTTCTTATCAATATAGCTCATTCTAGAGTATCAGTAAATAAGATTAGTTCCAATTTCTTGGGAACTTCCAAGCTGCCTAAGGAAATTGATCCCCAAGTTGAATAAGCTCCCATTAAATGCTTAGATTTGTGTGGATAATGGAGAATAAAAGGACGTCAGAAACTCTTCTGTTCCTGTATTATTTTTCTCTCCATCCCAACATGCTGCTGCTTCATAGCATCACCTTCACATAAACTAATTCTCAATTTAATTTTTTAAGGTAGAGAGAGAGAGAGAGAGACTTAGAAGCCAAGTTCATACATTGAAGAAGATTAGTTAAAATATACATACCCCTCTTTCAAGGTTAAGATAGCAGTGTGCACAGCATCATCAAGCTCCATATCATCAGTATACCTACATTGAAAGGTAAGACCACCAAAATTGTCAAGAAAAATGGATGAATGGCCCCAGGAAGCAAAGCAACCAGCAAAAATATCTGTGGTATGATACTTGGCAGCATTTAAATCAGATTCTATCAATAGGTTTCGAATCCTCAAATTTGAGTTCACAAAGCTAGCTTTGGGTTCTATTTAATAGGAAAAACTTAACAGAATATCTTGATGCAGAAACTACATACTTTGACTAAAGAACTCAGGCAACAGAAAACTAGAATGGATACCTTTTTTCTAGAAAGGTTTTGGCGTTAGAAACATTCTTCCCCATTGCAGAGGCCTTCCAAGAGAAATATGAACCGGATGGGTCCACCTAGAGAAAAGTATTCCATACAAAAAGAAAAGTGAATTCAGAAATAACTTTTCAATGATGTTAACAAAAATTAATAATTTCTATATATATATATAATGGAGCCATCTTGTAGCTCAGACACTAGATCGGAAAAACAGTATGTACACTCAGAATTTTTTAGCTACTCTAATCAAACACGTGTACACAATGTTCATTGGCATTCCTGTTTTTCCTTATTTTATTGTGTACGATGAAATATACAAAAGGGAGGAGGAAAGCAGCCCCAAGGTAGGTCTGCTCTTAGGCATTCACTGAGCATACAAACAGATTCAATTGTTTCAAAAACCTTATATAATATTCAAAAAGTGGATTCCTGAAATTTTCATTTCCAAACTTACATGAAACTATAATTTGGATACGGATATAAAATGCTGTGAATTATAACGCTAAAAGCCACTTAAACCAGCCCTCATTGTATTACTAATTTAACGAGACATGAGAAATACTCTACCTGGTATAATTGAGGACCATTGTCATCAAACCCTGCAACCAAAAGAGATACTCCAAAGGGCCTTACACCTCTACAGACAAGAAAAAAAGCAAAAATAGGAATTCATAAATGAAACTGAAAAAAAAATATCCATGCCTTATAAAACACGTACACATAAACACATATATTCAGGCAAACAGCACCCAAGTTGCAATGTGAAAATAAATATACTGGAAAGGGCTACATAGCACTGCAACCATTTTCATAAAAACAAAAGATGAATATGCAAAAATAGGGATATGGGGTTGGAAAAAGAGAATAGAAGTAAAAAAAATATAACATCCACATTATGTCCATTCAGAGACTTTAAAACAAGTTTTCTGCACGTTAGGCTACACCAGTTGGTGTCAAATATCAATCTTCCATTTAAAATTCTACTGTTTAAACAACTTTCAGGGCAAGAATTGTGTTTACCCAGATTGGGTGAACTCCTGCATTACAGCTGCTGTTTCCCTCACAAGTTGAGTGACTGGAATTGGTTCCTATGAAACATTTTACACAGGTTACAATCATGAGAATAAAACCATAGGTACAATGCCGAACAATCAGCACTGGAATCACATACTCAATTACAATTTTTTTTTTTTTTTTTCATGAACATACTCTATCATAAAAATGAAAATTACAGGCACACTTTCAAAAAGGAAAATTAGTTAACATTTCAAATGATTGCAAGAATTTGGAAAGCACGGCTCTATTGAAGAAACCCAACATGAAACTAAGATTATTCACATTCTTTTTAGATGAATTTATAGTATGAAAGACAGACAAGAAAGGGCACAAATAAGAAGTATGTAATTCAACAATCAGTCAACAGCTTCTTCCATATTCAAGCTGAATGCGCAAAAAGTGTACCAACGAGTAAACTGAACTGATTGCACAAACTAAAGAGTACTTCAGTTACTATGAAAATTACATAAGATTGAAAGCCTCATGGTACCCAGTGAACCAAATTGTCTTGCAGTAAACTGATTATACGAACTAAAGAGAGTTGTAGTTACACAGAAAATAGACATAAGAGTTGAAACCTCATTGTACCTTGTACAGTCTATGGTATTGCTCTGCCTGCTTCCTACTTTTTCTGACCAGAACTCTAAAATCGGGACCCATGCCACTGTAGGAAAAAATATCATAATATAATTTGAAGGTGTTTACATGGGGAAGAATGAATGCTACAATAGAATGACTCACATGCATGCCCTATCCAACTTCTAATACTAAAGAACATAGAAATGCATAGTTGAAAGCAAAACAAGACAGCTCAAAAAATACATGATTTATTAACAGCACCAAATAAAAAGGTAAAACCCTAATTCTTATTGACACAAGGTAAATTAGCTCGCTCCTTCAATTAAATGAAAGAAGATCTCCCAAAAGCCTACTCTATAGTCTTGTTCCATAGTGCTAGCCAATAGGGAAGTTTACTTACGGACTCAGTCACAATGTTTAGAAAACTTACAAGTTATCAAAACAAGCAGAGTAAATCACAAAGATATTGAAATGGAATAGAGGAGTTCCTCGAGGAATTGAAAAGTTTGAAGTGGGATGTGGAAACACATTTAAGACGCATAATAGCAAAAGCATGAGGCCACTCCAAAAGAAATTTAGCAGTGAGAGAGAAACATGGCAGAAGTAATGTCCCCTGCTGCCAAGAGGTGGAGAGAATCAGACCTGTAAACAACTCCAATATTTGGTGTCAGAGACTGTATCTTTTGAACCTGAGACAAAGAAAGAGTCAACAATTATAATACTAACTATGAGAAAGGGTTCAAAGAAGTCAGAAGTTATAATTATTCAATTGAGTTACGTACAGACGTTTCATCAACCAAAATAGACGGTAGTTTCTTTTCAGTTGCGATGACAACACCATTGGCAGCTGCAAGGAAGAAAATGCATTAATCGAAACCCTTACCACGAACATCCAAAGTTATAATCACCAACCAAAAAAGCAGCTCTAAGCATGAACAGACAGATTCAAGAGTAGCTAAGGCGCAAAGATGCGATGAAATAAACATTAACAAGCAATGCCAAAAATACCAAATCATTCCAAAACAAGCACCAAAAACCAAGACAAATGATTCTATAATTAACCTCTAAGACCTTTGTCCTGTTACTATGAATGCAATAGGAAAACAATGTTATGATAAATTCAGATAAACAAGATAAAGAAACTCAAATGCAAAGTTGAGATCAATTAAACTATACATCATTCCGCGTCGAGAACTGAGGTCCGATGGAGCGGCAATTATCAATAAAACAAAACATCATTCGGCGTGAAGATACCTTTGATACCGAGTGATGTCTGACCAGATCCAACGGCTGTCAAGGCGTGCTCGATCTGCACAAGCTTTCCCGAAGGACTGAGCAACAGCACAAAAACACAGCATTAGAGGAAGGCAGAATCGAGAAAGAGAGAGAGAGAGGGAGAAATGGGGAGTTGAGTGACAGACCTGAAAGTGGTGAGAGAAAAGGAGTACTGGCTATCTCCCATGTCGTCTTGGAAAGAGGAAGTGGGGGATCGAGAAGAGCTTCTGAAATGGGACTTCTTGGAGAATGCCGGAGAATAGCCCTGCTTCTATAAAGCTGGGATTTCTTGTTGCCGAAGAAGGCTTCTTCTGGGTACGACTATACGACGGGCCTTGGTTTTACTCTGGGCCTCTTACAAAAACTTGCTTTAATTTTTAACTTAAAAAAAAAAAAATATATATATATATATATATGGTAGAAATATATATTTTAAAATTAACAATATTTTAATTCAATCTAATTTTAAATTTATTAGAAAAGAATTAAAAATTATTCTAAAGAGTTATTGGAAAATAAATAATTATAAAGTAATATATATAGTGAGTTAAAATAACATTAATTTTAAGTTTATTCAAAAAAAAAAAAAGTTAAAAATTATTTTTAAGTGTTATTCGAAAATAAATAATTATAAAAAGTAATATATATATATTATATATGGTAAGTAAAAATATATATTTTAAAATTAACCATAACTAATATAAAAGAGTTAAAAATTATTTTAAAGAACTATTGAAAAATAAATAATCAAATATATATATTTAACATAATCCAATCTAATCCAAATAAGTTCATAAACTCAACTCAATTAGTATGGATTAGGTTGGGTTAATTAGGTTTTCTAGACTCCTAATTGTAGGCTGAGCAACTAGTTTAAATATTTGTATTACCTATGTACATACGTTCGTTTGAGCTCATTAACGATCATTGTTAAGATATGAGGTAAAATTAAGCTTTTTCAAGTGAAGGTAACAAAAATAATCCATCCAACTCTCTAAAAGTTCACTGTGGTCGACTCTGAACTCACCCACAACTCCGTAACGAGACCACATCGAAACAATTGGACCTACTTAGACATAGTGATACAAAAAAGATAAAAGCTAGCAACTTGACAACCGTACTCATTATAGGAATAGCAAAGAGAACCGTATCAAAATTAAGGGACTTGAGTGGATTTTGTAATTGTTAAGATGAACGATTTTAATGTGGTATTGAAGATGAAATTCCTCTTCAAACACAAATTTCTATTGATTTCTCTTGCTAGATGTTTGGTATTTACAAGGTTCTATCGTTCGGTTATTTGGGCAAACATCAAACAACTAAATAGAATATGGATGTTATCGACCCTCCAAGTGAAAAGGTATCGATTGTGAAAAACCAACATTTATGGTCATCTCCATTCTATAAGATAAAGATAACAAAGAAATAGTTCCTCTTAAGGTTAAAAATGTCCTAGAGGAATATGACGAGGTTATGCCTTAAAGCTTATGGAATAACTTACTCCATGTAGGAGAATTTAGCGTGAGATTGATACTAGGGACAAGCCACTCGACAAAATACACAAACACGTAAAAGATCCAAAATATACAAGCAGGATTGACACTCGAGAATGACCCTTAGTGACCATGCAGCTCTCGAATGCTCTTTCACCGTGACTCAGAGTATAAAAATAATTAGTAAGTAGTCTACTTGTAGGCGTTTGTCACATCCAATTCCCTGTAGGTTACCACACGATTTTCTTTAGGCTCTAAGAAGTTTGAGCCCAAGTTTTATAGCTATATGAGCTTTTGAGAACACCTTAGAGTTCCAAGGCAGTTTTCTTACTTGTCAGAGTTATGAAATAGTTAATTATGGTTTAATATGAAAAGAAGATCAATTTGCATAAATCGAGTTATTTGGTAAAATTTCAGAATACTTATTTTGAATCATGATGCGGTAGAAAATCTGGAAACAACACTGCTTGCAAATTTGGAAATAATTTGTTGCTCTTGATGCTGAAGCAATTCGAAACGCAAACTTTTCGAGGATGACATAAAAATTTTAATTCATATCATCAATCCACGTGGGTCATTGACTACCAAATTAGAAACATCCTAGGTGGACGATGTTATCACTTCTCAGCCTTAAATGAGAAGAAACAAATATTATAGAAGGAAAATGATACCTAAAAAAGGAGGCAGGTCACATTTTGGTGGAAGAAAATCGGATTAGATAGCAAAGTCTCTACTGCTGTGAACTGCCGTTAAACCAGAGAAAAGAAGAAAAACCCTAATCCAGCCGTTGTTGACGGCAGAAGAAAAAGAATACCAAGAAGGATAAATTAGGGCAAAGAGATGGATGTCAGAGCTCAAGGGGAGGGAACTTCCATTGAAGAACAGTAGGATAACTTTCTATTTTCTTACTCCCTTTTCTTATTCTATCAATTTTATATGATTGTTACGTGGGTTCCTCTGTTTAATTCAGTTTGTATGGAGAGCTAAATTTTATAGGGGAGACGAGAGAGTTTTATATAATTTAAGTATGCTACTCAGTTTACCTATGTGGTCATCGTCTACTTTCAAGGCAAGTTTACAGTGTACAAACCTTTTCCAGGGACTCCTGGCCATTTTCACACACGATAATGACTCATCATGAGTTAAACTACTTATATAGTCCTTTGTCCCCTCTTAGGAAAAGTTTATGTAATCGTTCTCAACCTATTTTCTACGCACAATAATAACAACTCAAGTAACCACGATTCACCATCCTCTTTGACTTTAGTCAAGCTCAACGGTAAAAGTTTCGAGATACCTACTGCTTGGCAGAGGCACTATTGAGTGCAACCTAGGCCATTGGATAGTGCTACTAAGGTACACGAGGAAAATAGAAGGTGATTACAATCTTGATTACAGTCTTGCAAGCTACGGGTCTACGTTGGGATTACAGTCTTGCAAGCTTCAGGTTCTATTACAGTCTTGATTGTTGATTGTCACTCATAATCCTAGTGTACTCGGTCTACTAAAAATATACCGACGAAGGTCAACATGATACAACTCATGCTCTAACATCATAACCTTAACCTAGTTCGCTCACCTATTTTATTGGGGAGATAACTCTATCAATCATCTAAGCGCATAATCTATAATTTAAACATTCATGCAAGCTCAATAGGGAGACATCCATCCATCACTCAGAGCACAAATTACACCCTCCCATCCTCTTTCCTAGTATAGCGAAATACATTTAAAACACCATGCACTCATCGAAGATGCCTATGACGAGTTGAAGAGGGAAAAGATGGAGGGGTTGGTGCTCAAGATTGCGGACGTGACTTGACCCTTTGGAGTAAAGATTGATGCATTTTATTATGTCTTCAAGTAGCATCCCCTCGTGTATGCGAGCAAAACTTAAATGACGTAGAGAGGAGATATGTCACCTCCATGAAAGAGATATGGGTCCAAGTTTGTGGTTAAGACTGATAATAACTCCATGATCATTTGACCTTCGGTCAAGATTTGGTTGAAAATCTTCGATTTACGGCTCGGTTGGAATGCTTTGACCTCCACTACTTGCTTTGCCTCAACTGAGACTAGTTTCTAACTATGAATCTCGAGATTGATGTTTCTCGTCTCCTCGAGTGTTTTCTCTTTCATTTATAATAAATGTGAATAAAAGTTATATATATTATATATATTAAGTTTAATTGGAAAAAAATGAATGATAATTTGATAAGAAAAATCTCCCAACTTTTAAAACGTTATATTGGGCTTGGGCCATACAAGCCCACGTTATATGGTCCGTTTAATTTTTGGGCTGAGCCATGATCTTACGAACCGGGTCAGAAATGGCTGAACCGGAAACCCATAAAACCGCCCCCTCGTCTTGCTTGGCAAGAAAGGGTCTGATAAAACCTCAACACAAAAGACTGAAGTTGCTTCTTCTTCTTGTTCTTCCTTTGTACGCATGTAGATCTCCATTTTCTTTAGTTTTCATCGCTGAAAATTAGATTTTGGTGCTGAGTTCATCTAATTTCTCTGTTTTTCCGCAGAATCTAGACGGATTTCTTTCATTGAATCGCAAAATGTTTCTGACCAGGTAATCTAGTGCAATTTTTTTTTTTCTCTTTCCTCTTGTTGTGTTGTTTCTATTGTTTGATTTTTCGGTCTCTCCTTTTATGTGGATTTTTTCAGGACTGAATATGATAGAGGTGTGAATACTTTCTCTCCTGAAGGACGATTGTTCCAGGTTGAGTACGCGATTGAGGCTATTAAGGTAGTCTATCCTTTTCTTCCTCTTTGCTATCACAATTCTTAGTTATTTTGATTAAATTTATAAAATGTTTGTGAGATTAGGAGAAGATTGGTAAGTTGAGTGACAGGACTCGAGCATAATTTGCTCCACATTTTTTTTTTTTTTTGTTTTTGTTTTTTTTGTCTATTTTATTGAATCAACTGCTTCCCCCCTTGATTTTTCCAGCTTGGTTCGACGGCAATTGGTTTGAAAACGAAGGAGGGTGTTGTGCTTGCGGTTGAAAAACGTATTACATCTCCACTACTGGTCTGCCCCTTTTCCTTAAGAATGTCTAAGTTTGTATATAACCCAAGGAGTTGTTATTTGTGGTTAATTTCATATATTTTCATGTTTAGCTCAAGTCAAATGCCGGGCAGTCGATATTGAAATTGAACGTTATTATCTGCTTTAACTGATATTTAGTTATTGATCCATTATCTGTTTGTATTTTGGGAGCATTTCCTTTTTGGTTCTTGTTCTTGAATTGTAATAGTGAGCTTAGGCACTATTCTTTATTTTTATAATTTTTGTTGAAACTCTTATTTAGGAACCAAGTAGCGTGGAAAAAATCATGGAAATTGATGAACATTTAGGATGTGCGATGAGTGGATTGATTGCTGATGCTCACACACTTGTTGAGCATGCTCGAGTTGAGACACAGGTGCTGTTGATGACTTGCCTTGCATCTATTGTTGATATCTTTTCAAAGACAAACTATTGAATTTTGAACTTCATATCTGTAGAACCATCGTTTCTCATATGGTGAGCCAATGACTGTGGAGTCTACAACACAAGCTCTTTGTGATCTAGCCCTAAGATTTGGCGAAGGCGATGAGGAGTCCATGGTTATTACCCATCTACTTTTTCTATTCATTTACCCTATATATGCTCCACTTCCTGTTAAGTTATTCGCTCAAGTGAACTGGCTTTATAATGGCAATGAATTAACACCATTTATTTATTTACTTAGCATCCCTCTAAAATATAACCTTCATATGTAATATTTGATTAGGGAATTGTTTCATGCTCTCTTTACAGATGTCAAAGTTTATGAGTTTG